GGTTTCCTACCTTGACACCCGCTCTGTCTTTTGGAGGTCTAAGGTGAACGTTGTAACTAACATCTTTATTAAGGCAACTGAAGAAGAGAGGAAGAATTATGTGGAAAGCAACTAGGGCTACAGCAGTATGGACTATTTGGGAGGAAAGGAATGGGGGGGGGTTTCAATGAAAAGAGTAGATCGAAAGAGGAATTGTTTGAGGGCCATCAAAATCAGAACTGCACATTGGATAAAGACACTTGATCTATTCAAACAATTCTTAGTGAATGATGTCTTAAGGGCATGGACTGAAGTGGCCTCCTATCCAAAGAAAAGGAAAAGGCATTTATGGAGTGGTTACCCCCGGAGGCTAATAAAATTAAACTAAACTTTGATGGAAGCTCCATGGGAATCACGGGGGTGGCTGGTATTGGAGGAGTATTTAGGGATTGCAACGGAAAAGTGTTGGGTATCTTCTGAACCTTTGGGGTTAGGATATTCACTAAAGGCTGAGCTAATGACATTACTACAGGGGTTAAGAATAGCAAACAATCAATATTTCTGTCTTTGGAAGTAGAGGGAGATTCAAAACTGTTAATTTCTTGGGCTAAAAACAAGCAGCTTGTACCATGGATATGCATGCATGAATTTAGGGAAATAGAGAACATCACACAGGAGCTGAATATAGCCTTCAAGTGGGTCAGAAGGACGGCAAATGGGATGGCTGGCACTCTAGCAAAGCAAGGGGTATATAGGCAACAGATGTTTTGGGCACCATTGTAACTCATATTTCCGAAATGGGACTGGAATGAATTGTTATAGGTGGATACACCATGTCTTTGTAATAGCCAGATTATCAGTTTAATATAATCCAATTTTCTTTCTGATCAAAAAAATAAAAGGTGAACGCTATAAAGGTCATTGCCAAACTCAGTCATGATAAGCTTTGCCAATGCAGATGCAAGAAGAGTCACCAAAGCTTGACAAGGTGGCTCCTCTGCTACTACTCCCCCAAAAATCTCAATTGCCACCTCATGTAACTTCAATCAATCTAAGGATTAGTTGGGGGGTATCTGTTCTAACTCTTAAATCCGCCCATCGTAAATTTTGTAGGATGCTGGTTTCATGGCAGAGTTCCATGAAAACACCACAACAATCTCATATTGCTTTAAAAATTGGTAAATTCCAGAGGTGGAATGATAGACCCCTTACCCTGATTTCAATGTTTCCCTTTGCCAAATTAACCTCCTTTTTCCAAGGACTTAGTTTGAACTGGCCTTGCATAGTAAAACCCCATTGTTTGAGGTACTGGAAAGTCTTTTGTTTCAACCTCAGGCATAACACCATTGCTACCCTTTCTCCCACTGGTAGCAAAGTAAACTGGCCACTAATTTTGAATACGACAATCAAATTCTGTCTCAACAATTCAGTTAGCCTTCTCTTTAACTTTGCACACCAAGGTTTCATCCCAGATCTCCACATAGCAATCCCCCCTTGTATTTTCGTAGCTCCTTGAGAAAGCATAACCATCATTCCCCTGTTTGCCAAAAGGAATGCAAACAGATTTCGACTTTCTATTGCCGAAAAAATCAATCAAAACCAAGTAATGTCCTTCATCCTTTTGCCTTGTTTTTGTAAAGAAAGAACGTCCTTGATCTGAGAATTTGTTCCAAAGCCTATTTGAACTGCTACTAAGTGCATTTTCAATGAAAGAACAAAACCAACTCAGAATCTCTTGCGAGGTAACCAAGACCTCTATGAGACTCCATGATTCTGAGTGTCTCATCTCCAGCCAAAGAAAATGGTTTGAAGAAAAAGCGCTTGGAAGAGTGGAAAGAAGAGTGGAGTCGTGAGCAAAGGAAAAACGCTTAGAGGAGAGCAAACAGTTGCAAAGGAAAGACAAGTCAGGAAAGAAAAGGAAGAAGGTTTTGGGCAGGGAAGAAAGAGGAAGAAGAAGGTTTTGGGTTAGGGAGTGAGAGGAAAAAAGGTAAAGAAAGCTCAATGGCTGGAAAGAGTGCCTCAAACCAATCTACCGGAGCCGAGAGACTCACCTGAGAAGATCATTGCAGCCAGAAAGAGTGAAAGATGTGGCAACCAGCCATCTTTTTCTGTGTTGCTGATAAAAAAAGGACTTCGATTAAGCTAGAATTATGTATCTATCTTTTATCTTTTTATGCAAAGGAGGGCGTTGCTACTTTTTTTTTCCGGTTTGATGGACAAGGGGCTGGGTACTTCAGCATTAAGGAAATCATGTGGACTAAAAGTATTACAAACTTCAAGGAATAAATATATAGTGGTAGATACTAAATGTATTACAAACTTCAAGGAATAAATATATAAAATACCAATAAGAGGTAGGATATAGGGATGACATAGACTAAAGGAGGGCTTATTTTGCACATGTGGCAAAGTGTACATATATACAGAGTGGATTTGCTAGTTGGTTAGTGAACTTCTATACAACCATGGAATCATTCATGTGGCAAAGTAGTTTGGAGCTCAAGAGGAGTCTCCAAATTCCTGTCCCCACCATCTATTCATAGAAAAGTTTCAGTCAAAAAAGGCCTTGCCGCATGTGCAAAGCAAGCCTTTAGGTAAGTTTCATATTAACTGATCGTCTATGATAATATGAAAACTACCAATATGAGGTAGGATATGGGGATGGCATAGACTCAAGGATTCTACATGTGGCCTATCCATTTGATGGCAGTGTGGACTGGCCAGAGGAATCACCCTCCCTCTTCCAACATGGCAGAAATAGGTGGGTTTGTGTAGGAAACTTCCTACTTGACATGACTAGAAAACCTAATGTATACATATATGCATGTACATGCATGTGTGTGTGTATGTATATATGCATGCATGTATGTGTGTGTATACGCATATATTCCATATCCTAGGATAAGCTTGATATCTTCACATTTGGTTTGTTGCTTGAGGTATAGTCATGTTTTCTTGAACATTGTTTGGTACTTAATACCTTTTGGAAAAAGTTGACATGTGGTTGGTCTCTCTTGTATGTGCATTGCAAGAGAATGAGGGATGAAGGATTTGCAACTAATGGAATAATGTAGCTCTGCAGATTTAATGGAAAAAAGAGTTTTCTATACAAGAACTTTTTTTCTTTTTTCTCTGTTAAAGGAAAATATGTACATATGATGTGTGTATATGTATGCATATGTTCATATATAATTTTCCTAACATACCTAAAACACAGTTACCCATGAAGAGCAATACTAACTTCTATCCTTGGTTTTTTTACCACCTAAGTCATTTATACCTTGTTCTCTATTCTAAACATTTTAGGTCATAACAATTAATTTTCTCAGAAGATGAATCTTTTCTTTTTTTTTTTTTTTTGGTAAGTGAAAAAAGGAATTTGTATTAATATAAAGGACGGCAAGGAGCCCTCAATTCGTAGAAAAATGTAATTACAGATAAATCAACAAAAAGTATAACCATATGTAGTCATTCTTTACATTCATATAAAAAATGAAGGATGCACAGTTATTCCTCAATTCATTAACTGAGATACAAGAGTACAAACTCAGCACCTGGGCCCATTTCACAAGAGTCCATTCTATCTTCCCTATGATGATCTCCAAAGAAGCTTCTTTACCCTGAAAAGATTCTGCTGTTTCTCTCCTACACAGTCCAGCAGATGGAAAAAAGGCAAGAACTTCTGTAGCATTTTCCCTTTAATTTAGAAACTATTAACTTTCCAACTGGATAACAAGTCAGCTACAAGGTGGAATTACCCACTGTCTCTGCAACAGCTTAAGAAAGTGGCACCAAACCTGAAACAACAAAGGACAGTGGATTAACAGGTTAGAGACAGATTCAGAGGACTGTCTACGAAGGCAACGGAGTGGTTCCAGGTCCCAATCCATGCCTCCTTAAGGCTATGTTTAGCTTGAAGGAAAAGGAAGGGAAAGGTAGGGAAAGGTAGGGAAACCTTGTATTGGTTTCCCTGTTTTTCCCTTCCTTTCCCTACCTTTTCCTTCAAACCAAACATAGCCTAAGTTATCAGTGGTCTTGGTTCTCCTCCAACCAGCAGAACATATGAAAAAAAGCAGTCTTCAGTGGCATCTGAATACCCCAAATCCAAGACCACGAGACCTTTGTAAAAGGGTGAACAAGGCCTTTATAGCAGGACCTAACCGAGAAATTTCCTGATTTTTCCAGTATCCAATCTCTCATATCCCTAGATTGACCATCGAAGCTAATAGAGGATACCCTGCCCATTAGATTTGCCAATTGGTCTACCTTCCAATCGTTTAACTTTCTTCTAGAAGTGGGAGCCCAGATCAAGTGTGAGTTCTGCAATTTGGCATTGTCCTTCAGGGATCTCTCCTTATCAGTATTCTTCATACAGAGGCCCTCTAACAAGGTTTACATTTGAGATTTGACATGTGGGAAGGAGATCTCTTGCTGAAATTTGCTCAATGAATGGAGAGTGGAAAGAGAAACATGTGTGACCCTTTTGGGATGCAACGTTCAAAGTATTGATACACACTGACACAGCAGAAGGGGTGTATCAGTACTTTGTACCACACTTTTTTTTTTTCAAAAACAGGGCTAATGGGTAGGTTTAAGCATGGATTCATCATCATCATTATCATCAATGCCTTATCCCAACAGATTTAAGCATGGATTAACATATAAAATAAAGAGTTTGGGGGTTAGCCTTAAAAAAGGCAATCGGCACCCTGCTAATACAATACGATACGCCCGATACAGGGTGTATCGTGTGTCAATACTCTGAACCTTGTTGGGATGTTTAGTTTTCCCTATATATTCTCCTATCTTTCTTATTCTTGGTGATTTTCCTGAACCTTTATATATTGTAGAGGCAGGCAAGGTGATGAGACAGCTAATATTTTCTTTATGTTCTCCTTCGTAACTCATTATTTAAGTCAACTTTTTATTTTTTAAACATTTTTTCTGTAGTTGGTTAAGATGAGTGCTATTCTAATGGTGAGATTAATGTAATAGTGTAATGTTGGAAATCTTATTTTCAGGAGATACACAGCATTATATGTTAGTAAACACATCTTTCAATTTGATGGTGAGATTGATGAGATGATGGGCCATACATATTTGTTTCTGAAAGAGCAACTTGAGCTTTCAACTACAGCTCCTCCTTCTGGAATTCTTCATGGAACCATAATTGGTGTGCACCTGGCATTTGCCTAGATCTTGTTGCTAATGATACTGTTCATTATTGAATTTAAAAGTAAATTATTTTTTATGCTTTACTCTTTGTTTTGATTGGTTTTGTTATACTAGTTGTATTCCATGCAATGGATATTTTGGTTCTATCTTTTCCATTGCTTGCTTTAAATAGCCTTAAACTATTTGTTACTTATCTTAGTTGAATTAGTCGTGATCTTTATGAGATGTACCTCAGTTAAAGAATTAATGTGCCATCTCATTGACATTTCATAGACATACTTTTCAATATCTGAATTGAATTTTTGGTGTTTCCATGCTTTTTTTAAGATAAAAAATTATATTAAAACAAGAAAAACAGGATACAAGGAAAGGTGATAAGCAATCACCCGAATGAAAGGAAAACACCCAAAGGACCTGACTAATGCTTAAAACACCCAGATAGGCCAAACCCTCCCAACAAACCTGAAACCTCAAAATCCAAACCCCATACAAAGCGAAAAGAACCAACACATGAACAGAAAACAAGCCAAAACCAAAACCTGTACGATACCCAAAGCAAACAAAACCACCCCCACCCAAGACCCATAGCGAAAAACCAAACCCCCAATGGATTCTGAATCAACAAAACTACTTGTTAATTTTTTTATTGCAATCTTCCTGTTGTCTTCTGGCTGCACTTTTGTGTTTCCTTACTTTCTTGTTAAGTCCAAGGCCAAACAAACCTCCTTTGACCTTGCGAAAACCTTTGAAAATGGTATTTACTGTTGGCTTCTCTTAATCTTCTGAATTTTGAATCTTCTAACTGTATTTAATGTTCCAACGACTTCTTCCATCTTCCAGTCAGAATTCTGACCCCTATTCGGAACAATCTCCCCCTCCAAAACCTCTTCCTTTTCCTTGATGTTATACTCACCGCCTCCGTCAAACTTTTCCAACCTATAGAAGCCGTGTGTGTCTAATTAGTCTGTCAACTACCACTTATCTCATCACTACTAGCCATAGCATGATTGGCTCAAATGGATGGTGGGCCATTAAATCATAACAGAAACTGATTGTGTGACCATCCATTACACAATAAGTGCACTTCCAAGGGCCATTGCCACGTCCTCTACCATATAGAAGTGATTTTATCAAGGTTTCATCCTCATTTATTCATCTCTAAGAATTCCTTCATATTTAAAGACAGAGGTGTGTCACACCTCTGAGAATGTAGGAATCACATAGGTGCATGGGGCCAATTGTTTCAGCTGCATAACCTCATCACTTTCTATGAAGTATATTATAGCCATTCATTTGATGAATTTCCTTTCTAGCCTTTATTGTACCAGGGTTCATAGGCATTTTAGATTAAACCTTTTCCAATAGCTAAGTGTAGATCCATCACATAGGAACACCAAAGGTACTATGAAGAGTCTTCCATTTTAAGATAGGCCTCTCCCACTAGCCTATGATGTCCTATCTTCACATGAATTGATATATTATCATCCATAGTCAAGTAGATATCCCCATTTTAGGGTGCATCTCCACTTACTATTTCAGCTCACTTTCTCACCAATGATGAAAAGATTTTAGAGATGACTTCCAAAATCCAATCCCTATCTCATGCACTTTTATTTAGTGAGGGAACATTCAGATTTGCAATCCCAAAAGGTGTAGGTTAGGTTCGACCAAGGTTACTTCCACTAGCCTTCATAAAGCTAGAATTAGAACTGAGTCCAAGTTGGTAACCGGTTGCAAGAATCCCTCTTGGGAGGAATCTAATTGGACTCAGTTATGGAAGGGGGATTATGCAATAATCCTTTATGGAGTTTGGGAAGTTGGACTCTATATAAGTGAGCTAGAATCACCAATAAGTCTAAAACATGGCCAACCTCTTATGGCCATGTGCAATTCAGTACATGCTATTTTGTAAACACAAACACATAAAGCAACCCTTTCACAAAATTACTAAAGAAACAAGTGAGGCCCAACCCACTTAATACTAAAACACGACAAGCCCACTAAAACTTTTGGCCATGTCACTAAAATGTGACTTTTAACAGTCCAAGTTATGGGCCTTGTTGCAAGAAGCAATTTGGCCCATACACTGTTGCTGTCATCATTGGGCTTGTCTTGCTTTAATCTCTATTGGGTTGGGCTGTAAACATGAGCCAATTCCATTGAGGTTTCAGCACCTCAAACCCTGATTAAATGTCAATTAATCACAGCAATGTGTCACTATAGCTTGAAATCGCCTATCAAGGTGGACAATTTCTAACCATCGATTTAGGGTTTGATGTGTTGCAAGTTCAATCAAATTACAGTTGTGTGATCTGACCTAATTAGCAAGTAAAACAACCACAAATGACAAACAAAAGCACACAAAAGACTGCTGTTGTAGTGAGGCCAAAATCTTCTTCTTCTTTGAGCAATTCAACCAAGATCCCATCTTGCAAATCGAGCCAAGATCTCCATCTTGTGCATTGATCCGTGATCTCCCTCAAGACTAGCTTTGATTATCCTTCAGGTCTTCCAAAAATAAAACAAAAGAACCTATTTCTAGTGCTTACAACTGAAAGACCTAATACAAATTGGTTCTAAAATGAAAAAGATAAAATCTCGGAAAACCGACTAGAAGTACATAGCCACCCAAAGATGATTACAACCCTTGAACGATACAAATTTAATAATCAATTAAACAAAAAAATAATTCAGCAAACCACAACAAAGAATTAACAATCATCACATGAAAAAAAACCCTAATTATCAGATCACATAGTCCTTGGTGTGATCTAATCACACCTCTAATCGAATTAGAGAAAACAAGCTGAAATTACTAGAACTGAATTGTGCAAGCTGCTACAAAGAATTTCAAGTCTGAATGAGCATGTTTCAAATTCCAAAATTCAAACCAAATGCTCGATACCAATTGAAAGATGTGAAATTCACATGGGGCGGAAAAGCAATTTTAGAACCTTTTCAATTAGGGTTTGAGAACCCTAATGAATCAGCCATTAAGATCACTATATCTATCACATGAGAGAAAACACTCTTTTCTCTCCAAGAATCAAGTTGAAGATGGCACAACCTTGGATATTGCCTAGTTCAATCCTTTGAGGTTTTAGAAGTGAATTGGAGCTTCAATCACATCTGTTAATGGAGGATTTTACCAGAAACAAAACCTCCAAAACATTTTCCTAAAACTGGTTCAGTATGGTGAACAAAGATGAACAAGAACACAAGTTTGATCCTAGGGTTTTTTCTAGGTTTTTGGATTGAATATGTGTGAGAACATAAGCTGATTGGTGGTATTAATTCCCAGCTATTATTGGGTTTAAATAGGCTTCTATTAAGTATTCTCTAAACCCTAGAAAGATACTAATCAAATTGGGAAAGGCTGGGTTTTAGTTAGTTAATTCAGTCCAACTATGACTAGTCAAAACTAGTCAAGTTTCTAGTCTAACTATGAAACTTGCAAAATTGGACAAACCAGTCCTAGTAGGTTTCTAAATTTCTCAAGGGATGAGTGAGAGGGTGTCCTTGTATGTTGTGGGACCCACATGCCATCACCACTTGTACTTGTTAATGCACTAAGCACCCTATTAGCCATTTCACCACTTGTAGTAACTTGTTTCCTACGTATCGTTCTTTCCTTTCTGCTATTTCCAGTGTTTCTATTCTTTGTAGAGGCCCTAAATTCTCCTGAGTAGAAGAATGTCATGCTAGGGGAAATTGATCCTATTTGTAAGAATTACATGTGAGATTTGGTTGACCTTCCTGAGGGTAAAAAAAAAAACCTATGGGTGCAAATAGGTTTTACAGTTAAGCATCGCATCAATGGTTCAATAGAAAGGTATAAAGCTAGGTTCGTGGCCAATGGAAAACATGAAGTTCATTATACGGAGATGTTTGTTTCACTTGCTAAGATGAACTCTATTTGTGTACTTCTCTCCTTTGCTATGATATTTGATTGGAAATTAGATCAATTGGAAGTTAAGAATGCCTTCCTAAATGGTGATCCTAAGGAGGAAGTGTACGTGGTTAAACCTCCATGATTTTCTTCAAAGGAAACAAAAGGAAAAGTTTGTCGTCTCAAGAAGTCCTTGTATAGTCTGAAACAATCTCCTAGGGCTTGGTTTGGTAGGTTCAATAATGCAATCAAGCAAGTTGGCTTTAGACAGTGTCAGAGTGATCATACCCTCTTTGTTAAGAGAGGTGATATGGTTGCTATTCTTATTGTCTATGTGGACGACTTTGTTATTACAGGGAATTGGGAGTCAGAGATTTAGAATCTGAAGAAGTTTTTGGGAACTTAGTTTGAAGTTAAAGATTTAGGCCCCCTAATACTTGGGATTAAAGTTGCAAAGTCAGACAAGGGCATCTTTATTTCCCAGAGGAAGTACATCCTAGATATCCTATAGGACACCAGTAAACATGGAACCAAACTAGCAGACACTTCAATTGGTGTTAATTACAAACTTGGGGAAGAAGGTAGTGGGCCTCTCTCTGACATGAGATGGTTTCAAAGACTTATTGGGAGATTGTTGTACTTGTCTATGTCTAGGCCTGATATAACATATGCAGTTGGAGTGTTAAATCAGTATATGCATGCACCCAAGGCCATTCATCTTGCTGCAGCAGAGCTAGTTCTTAGGTACCTGAAGAAGTTCCCTAGTAGAGGCATTCTCTTCTCCAAGCATGGCCACTTGAGGGTGGAGACATTTACTGATGTTGATTGGGCAGGTTCAGTTGATGACAGAAGAGGTTTTGGGAAGATGAGAATGGCTTGGGATAGGGCATTTGCTTGGTTGGTAGCACATGACAGCATTCTTACTACAGATCATTTGAAGAACAGAGGGTTTTACATGGAAAGCTTCTGTTACTTATGCAACTTGGAGGAGGAAACAGTACTGCACCTGTTCTTTTCTTGTAGTGCAGCAAATTTCATTTGGAAGTTCTTCTCATTTCTGTTTGGAGTCCATGTCTTTCAACCTTCATCCCCAGCAGAAATCTTCTCCA